ATACATATATGCATACATACATGCATCCTTTTACGCGTGTGGACATACATATAAACATGTGTGTGTGTTGCTTTATCTATATATGTATGCGTCTGTATGTCTGTGTTTAAAGCTCAATATATATATATATATATGGGCTATATAAGACCTTCTGGGTTACTGTATATACTGAACTGTACTTGCAATGAGTAAGGAGCCTCGTGGAAATAGTGGCGATTCTGTGGTTATCCAGCAGAAGCCCCTGCTAGAAGTCATCCCCCACGTGGCCCCGAAGAATCATAAGAGCTCGTGACCCTTACTTTTTGGAAGCTGCCAACTGGTGTAGACGGCAAATTGCACTCCTGGACTTGGAGTGTGGGGTTTGGGTTGACTGCTGAACCTTAAGGCGTTGGCCCTGTAACAACTATCACTTCGCAGTAAAGTAATTAGGAGAGATCCCTTTTTTTCTTCAACTTGGGACAAACTTTTTGTGGTGCAGTTCGCTGCCTCAGCAAGACGTTTTGCACACTGATATCATGTTGTGGTCAAGTCAACCTGTCTTGCTCCTGGATGTGCAAAGTGTCGAGGCGTTGTGAGCACAGGCAGGTAAGGTGCTACACAATCACAAGCTGTGTGTGTGTGTATATATATATATATACATAGATATATACACACATACATATTTTTGTACAGGTTTATTTCATATTTTCCATATATTTATATATATATATATATACATACATGTGTGTCTATATACACATCTGTATGTATATATGTATGAATATATATAAATAAATAACTAAATAAATATAAATATATATATATATAGTATAGGAGCATTAGTAGTCGGCATATCTTCGAAGAGGGTTTTCGGGGGTGATGTCTACTAAGTCTACTAGCATTCTTCAGACTTCCATATTGTCTCCCGGGTTCAGGGTAGCAGCAGGACCCTCCTTGTACCCTAAGTAGGGGTCTGCGTATGGTCCCAAACACTGGGTATATGGGTAGTTCTCCAAACTAGGGTCCATTTTAGGTCACCAGTATAGTACGGCACCCTATATAAAGGACCCCCAAAGGGACCCTAATTTAAAGAACTACTCTTTTTTGGTTTAATAGCAGGGTCTAAGTTTAGGGCTGATGGTGCCGGAGGGGTTAGGCCTCTAGGCCCGAAGCCTTAACCTTAAACCCTGAACCTACACCCTAGAAGGGCCGAACGCCCAGACAGGTCTGGAGTGGCGGGTGCCAGGTCTAAGGCTCAAGGGTTTCCATGCTTTTTCGGGTGGGGTTTGGAATACTGGGTTTCAGGTTTATGGTTTAGGGTTCAGGGTTTGAGGTTTCGGGGTTAGGGGCCTTGCAAAGGAAGCCATATTATTTACCATAGTCCCTATCCTGGTGACTTAGATAAACTCTTTATTAAAAGTTTCCTACATTTACTTACTATAGGTCCCTATGAATTATGCTAGCTTAGACTAAATTCCTTAACCAGAACCCCGACCTTGTGATCCGGGATCCTTCCTTATCCCTAAACCCTAAACCCTAAATCCTAAACCCTAACCCCTAAACCCTAAACCCTAACCCCGAACCCTAAACCCTAAACCCTGAACCCTAAACCTCTAACCCCTTAACGCCCCCACCCTCCTGTGCCAGGTGCAAAACATCGAGCTGCAGGTGCTGCGCCAAGCGACGCAGGATGGAACCTCTTGAGTTCATGTCTAGGGTTTAGGGTTTAGGGTTTACGATTTAGAGTTTAGGGTTCAGGGTTTAGAGTTTACGGTGTAGAGTTTAGGGTTTTAAAAAGTTTAGGGTTTAGAGTTTAGGGTTTAGCTTTCGATTTGTTCCCTATGGCTGAGTGTGTCGGTTGAGGGTTTGGGGTTAGGGTTTGGGGGTTAGGAACAGGTCAACTAGAACAGGGACTCCCTTCTTTTTGGGGGTGGGGGGTTCTGGAAAACGATTATTGGATAGCACTGGCATTTCTTGAAAATCCAATCCATACTTCTGCTATCACCTATCCTGGAAACCTGTATCTGTATTCCGCCATGATTGAGGAATGTATGTTTCCGTAGACCAACCCCACCGGGTTTCATGCGATTGGTGCACGTGAAAGTTCAACCGAATCAACCCTACCCTCCACTCCCCATTCCCAACAAAACCACGAAGTTCAAACAATACCTACGAACCGATTCACCCTAAAGCACGCCCACAACAAAGTCCCTAAAGAAGTCCCTCTCCTGAACGGAAACCCTCGAAATCTTGGCAGACCTCCAAACTCTAAAGACTCTAAAGCCTAACCCCCACACCTAAACCTTAACTCCTCCCCCTCAACCCCTAAACCCTAATCCTAAACTCGATAACCCGTGATTAACCCCTATACCCTGAATCCTATCTCCTAGAAAGCCCCTTACTATAGGGGCCTTACTAACTAGAACAAGGTTTGGGGGCATATTCTGCTATAATTCCACCAAGCTAGTCTTGGTAAGTGTTTAGGCCCGCTATATTAGCCACCTGGCGCAGACCCAAAGCCCCAAGCCCTATACCCTGAACCCTAAACTCCCCAAACCCTAAACACTGAACCCTGAACCCCAAACCCTAAACCCTCTAAACCCTAAACCCTGAACCTAAACCCTTAACCCTAAACCCTAAACCCTGAACCCTAAACCCTTAACTCTGAACCCTAAACCCTGAACCCCATAACTCCTAGAGACCCTAAACTCCCTGAACCCTAGCCGCGCGTAGCCGGGGAGCGCTGGCGCAGTGCCAGGAGCCGACTGAGGAACTTCCGCGCCATCCGACCCACCAGCAGCTCGCGAGCCTCATAAAGGGCCCCTATTTAGGGGTTTAGGGTTTTGATGAGGGCTTAGGGAGTTTAGGGTTTGGGGTTTAGGGAGTTTGGGGAGTTTAGGGTTCAGAGAGTCTTGGAATTAAAGTTTTGGAGTTTTATGGGCTTATGGGATTTTAGGGTTTATAGTGTTTAGGGTCCAGGGTTTAGGGGTTTAGGTGATTTAGGGGTTTAGGGCTTTAGGGTTTTGGGGTTTAGGGTGGTATTCAGTTTGAATTAGGGTTCAAATTTCTAGTTCTCTGTCTTGAGGCCGGTTGATCAACCGGTTCACAACTTTTGGCTTTCCATATTTGTCGGGATCGTATGACTAACTTCGTAACACTTGGGGTCCATGCAAAAGCAGCCGCTGTGGCTGGAGGACGAGGAAGAGGAATGGAAGCCGGAAGCATGCAAATATAGCAAACGCGAGCCATGATAACGATGCTCGAGCTGGCAGCGATGCCAGTTCCAATCCCGTCGTGATTGGCTTTCGAATCAACCTTCAAACGGCCAATTGACCGAACATCATGCCTTAAGTGACTACCACATTCGGAGACAACACGTCAAGCTAGAAACCAGGTCGCACTGAGAAGCCGGAAGGAAGGTTTAGGGTACCCATGAGGAGCGGGACGGGAGGGTACTACACAAAGCGTGATGCTGCTCAATAAAGCAAGGGGATACTTACACAAAAACCATAACAAGTATGTCTTATAGTATATAGCCACCCACTTTCCACTATCTAGGTGCTTAAACTCCTACCCTAAACCCTAAACCCTATCCCTCTTTGGGAAGGACGCCTCCCAGGGGTAGAAGACGTTGCGGAGCACTGTGTTGTCGATGGCCGAGCGCCTCGGTTGAGCTGGTTTTGGGTGTCTGGATTCCGGGTTTAGGGTTGAGGGGTTTAGTTTAGGGTTTTAGGGTTTAGGGGTTTAGTTTAGGGTTTTAGGGTTTAGGGTTTAGTTTAGGGTTTTAGGGTGTAGGGTTTAGTTTAGGGTTTTAGGGTGTAGGGTTTAGGGTTTCCGGGATTCCGGGATACGGGTTTAGGGTTGAGGGATTTAGTTCAGGGTTGTTTTAGGGTTTAGACGGCACAGAAGCAGTGTTCCTAAACCAAGACTATCATTGGGAAGAGAATTCTTCAAAGGGCTCTGAAATGGGGTGTGTAAGGGTTCTAGAATAAGGTTTCATTTAATAGATGCCTGAGTGCCTGAAGATTTGGCATAGTCTGTTGATTTTTGCGAAGGTATAAACCATTGTAAGAATGACATACGGGGATGTAAGAACATGCTTTCACTAAGTAATGTAGGGGGGCCTCAAGAATTCGAGTCGGGTTTTGGGGCCCACTATACTGTAACTATAATAAGGAACCCCAAAGATAGTATAGGTAATTCTTAAGGCCCCGATATTATCCGAGGAAATAAGGCTAAGATGCAGAAGGCTGAAGACTTGGTCTGGCATGTTTGGGTTTCTGTACTACACTTAGCATGAGACTTGGGGTCTAGGGTTTAGGGTCACGCATGCTGAGGAACCCAGACCAAGTGAGGGATGATCTTAATGATGACTCCGGCTAACGCACACTAAACCAACCCAAATATACACTTCGCGGAGCCCCGGTAGAAGTTCGAGACACACCACTAGGTTCCCGTTATGGAAACCTCAAGTTGCCACTACACAAAAAAACATGTCACGTACCATATCGCCCCTTACCAAGATAAGACGCCGGAAAGTTGGAGCATTCTTAACCGGATGGATAACGAATACAAGTGTAAGGAGCCCTAGCGCTAATCATCTTGGATCGTTAACTCACCTTCCAACGTTCTGTTGTTCATTAAACCCACAAGCCTACCTGGTTGACAACATCATATCTCCTCTTCACTTCGCTGTATAAATCCTAAACCCTAAGCATCTTTGGCGTACCTTCGCTTCTAGGTCGCGGACCCCTGCTTCTGGGCCACTCCGCCGGTGGCCACGTAGGCGGAGTCCTTGGACGTGTTGCGTTGCTTATCGGCTTGGGCATCGGGTTTAGGTTAATACGGCTTGGAGTTTAGGGTGAAGGGTTTAGGATTTAGGTGTAGTTGTGATGATATGAGTTGTTGCTTTGCGTGTGTGTGTGTGTGTCTCTTTGTGTCTTTTGAGCTTCGACACTCTGGGTGCCAATCCATCTTAGTCTCCTTGGCGTGGTAACTGGCATTAAGTTATTAAGGCCAAGACATCTGAATATCCGAAGACCCTGTGAGCGCGCTGATTACCAGGACGGGCTGTCGTAATTCGGGCTGTTGGGGAGGTTTAGAGTCCAAGATTCACTGTCGTCGGCTTCTTCGGTCAAAGAACGGCTGGCTTTTCAGCTTAACTTGAGATGTCAGAAAATGATGGGTGCAAATCCCAATGGCCCGATGACTGTGGCAAATTCAACGGAGCGTGCTGCGATATGCAGATCTCCCCCACCACATAGAGGATCAGGGGGGGTTTACGAAGTAGGTGCTCGCAAGAGTTACCTGTAGAGCAATCTCCAACACGAAGCTCTATACTCGAAACATGATACTTACATCACCGGCTATGACCCACCTCCTGCTGGATCTCCCAAAGGATTTCTAGCTCTGAAAGTCCACAAACACAGGGCCTTGACAAATAGAGTAGCGTTCATATATATATATATACACACATGCATGCATGCATGCATACATACATACATGTCTGCGTATATATATATATATGTGTGTGTGCGTGTGTGTGTGTGTAAGTATATATGCCCATGGGAATCCAATAGGCCCCAGCGATCAACTCCGAGCCCAGGAGCTCCCAAGGCTCCATATTTGCAGCGCTCGAAGGGCTTGGCGTGCTCGTAGGTGCCGCCGAACCTTCGGGCTGGGAGAGCTTTTAGGGTTTAGGGCTTAGTGTATAGGGTTTAGGGGTTTAGGGGGTTCAGGGGTTTAGGGTTAAGGGATTTAGGGTTTAGGGTCTAAGGTTTAGGGCTTTAGGGTTTCAGGTTTAGGGTTTAGGGTATAAGGTTTAGGGTCAAGGGGCTTAGAGTTGAGGGTTTAGGGTTCAGAGTATAAGGTTTAGGGTTTGGAGTATAAGGTTTAGGGTTTTAGGGTTTAAGGTTTAGGGCTTTAGGGTTTTAGGGTTTAGGGTTCAAGGTTTAGGGTTTAGGGGTTTAGGGTTTACGAGTTTAGGGTGTCGGGTTCTTTAAAGGGCCCTTATACAGATTCCCAGGGGTTTAGCTCTAAGAGATTCCTGGAGTTTGGGCTTTTGGACTTTGGGTTTGGGGGTTTAGGGCTTTCGGGTAGAGGTAACCTCTCAGGAACTTCTAGGGTAAAGGGTTTAGGGCTTAGGACTTAGGATTTCGGGTTAGGGTTTAGGGTTTAGGGTTTAGGGTTTAGGGTTTAGGGTTTAGGGTTTAGGGTTCAAGGTTTAGGGTTTAGGGTTTAGGGTTTAGGAGGAATTCCTGGAGTTTGGGGCTTCGGGGTTTTGGGATTGAGGGTTGAGGGAGAGCCCTCCTGGGTTTTGGAGGGCTTTGGGGCTTATGGGGGACCCTGGAAACCAAGTACCTATTCGTGAGAATGGTTGTTGTTGCAATATAATAGCATAGGTACTAAGAAAAAGTCGGCGAGCCACAGCAGCAATATGGTTTTTAGAGAGAAGAAGTATGTCCATAAGCACAGCGGCGGGTAGCCACGGATAGCCACGGAAGACATTCAACCCTAAACCCTGAACCCCTGACCTTCTAAGCTCCAGGATCTAAACCTCAAGACACTTGCATCCCGAATCAGAAGAACCCCAACCCGAAACCTTAACCTTAATCTCTGCACCTCCGAACCGTGATTAAGCCCTGAACCCAAAGCCCTAAGCCCTAAATCCTAGGACCGAAGCCTAAAACCTAAACCCTAAGCCCTAAACCCTAACCCCTATAAACCTTGCAACTTTCGGATGTCGGTTCGGCCAGATAGGCTGTCAGGGGATTCTTTGTTGAGCAACGAGGGTTTGTAGATGTGACCTTACCGAGCCTCTTTGGTGAGTTTTTTGTATCCCTAAACTTTCCATGTACCCAAAGAATCTGTATACTATTTGGGGGTTTCCGAAAATAGGGGACCCTAATATGGCACCCTAAATAGTAGGATCCCTATTATAAGGACCCCAGAGTAAGGTACATGGTGGACCCTTAGGGTATAGCATCCTTTCTCGGTTTGGGCTCTAGGGTTTTGGGGTTTCTTGTTTCGGGCTGCAGTCTTCAAATGGCCCAGCCATAGGGATTCGAGGGCCCTCGTAGGCTCATAGAGCTATAAGTTAGGAATAATACTTAAACCGCTTATAATCCGCCAATCCGAAAAGCCTTCAACTAGGCCCAAGCCGAGAAACAGCTCCATTTCCCACCTCTTGCGGATGTCATTCTTGCCTTTTAGCCGCTCTGGGGTGCGAGCTTTAGGATTTCTTTGCATGTTCAGGCTCCGTTGAACAAGCCTCAGCCGGTTCAAAGGGCCCTCTGACGTTTGGAGGTTTGTATAGGCTGTTTAGCTTAGAGTTCTTGGATTAACAGAATCGTTCTGATATCATCGACGGGTCCTTAACATAAGTTAAGGAAGCTAACCACACAACCCAATGCCTGCGACAATCTCCACCCGCAGTCCCAGCCCAAGCAGCAACAGGACTCCTACGTTTAGAGGGCCTGAATACTTAGAGCAGGGTTTAGGGTTTAGGGTTTAGGGATTTCTAAGACCAAAAAAACTAAGGAACCCTATGGAAGAGTATGACCAATCTTTGAAGATTCTGTCTTGGTAACTCTGGGCCTTAATTCCCCACTCCAAGCCCTCAACCGAGGTAAGGACTAAGGAATAGGGAACCCTAAACAAGAGTGCCGTTAATCATTGAGGCTTCTATCTCAAGCAAGGTTTAGGTTCAGGGGGTCTAATATAGGGGCATTATGGTTAGAATAGGGCTTTGGGGTACACTATACTCTCTCTCTCTCTCTCTATATATATATATATGTATAGATAAGGCACCCCGACAAAGAGTATAGGTAAGTGTAAAGGCTCCTATATTAGTAGCCCTGGGTTCGAATTCCAGGCCATTGGGGTGCGGTATGGGGTTTGATCTTACTACGTATGGCTGGTTCTCTAAATTAGGTTTCCTCTTTAAACCTTCCCCAAAATAATTCGGCAGCCTTATAAAAGGACCCAAAATAATTTGGGACCCTAATTTGGAGAACTTTCCTCATAGAAACCCTATAGAAGCCCTCATAAAAGCCCGAGTTTAGAGAACTACTGTTGATGATATGAATCCTGCACCCCTAAACTCTGGGAATTATGGCATAGTCCTTCTTATGGGTGACCTAAGCCCTAACCCCTAAACCCTAAAACCCCTAAACCCTAGTCCTTCTTATGGGTAATGCAGGATTTATATCATCTTCACCGTACCCATACTTGGAGGATCATGGGACTTAGTAACTAGGGCTATAAATAAGGCAACTATAATTATAACCCCAATTAGGGTACCTATAACCTTACTTCCTAAATCCCATGATCCTCCAAGTATGCAGGCAGACTAGACGACGATTCGGGATCTCGGGGGTCTCTTGGTCTGACCACCAAGAAAACCCCATGCTCCTTCACTCCCTAGAAAAGGGGTCCATGTACCCCCAAAAAAGGGCTCCTTTAAAAGTTCCTTTAAAGGGTTCCATAAGGGCACCACAATGGTTTCGGGTTTAAGGGTGCATGTATGTATGTAGGTATGTATGTATGTATGTATGCATGCATGTACATATATCTATATATATATATATATTTGTTTTTCTCTTTGCCCTGAAGTACCTTTGCAGGGACTACATTAAGGCCAAAGTAGAAGCTATATGGGCACATGCACCGTTATGGAAAGGTTTAGGGTTTAGGGTTGCCCGAA